ACCCGACGGCGGCAGGGGTTCGGCTGACGGTGTAGGGGAGATGCTGCATGGCTTTTTGGCGGCGGCATCCATCATTGAAGTCTGTAGAAGAGGTGCTGTCCTCTTGGCACGGCGACGGCGGTGCTTTATTAGCGGTAGTGCGGAAGCGCTGCCGAAATTTTGCGGCGGCAGCATTGGGGTCGACGGTGGTTATGCGGAAACGCTGCCAGTAGCATGCGGCACCTGGTCGAGACCAATTTTTTTACGGCACGTTGGGCAAGAGGGGTTTGAGTTGGGACCACCAAGTATTGTGGCGATGGTGTGGGACTATCTGGGACCATTATGGGACCAGGTAAGTGAGGAGTGAGACGGGAAATGAGTATTGTGGAGGCTTGCGGTGATCTGACTTAGCAATCGGTGGGGGTTGGAGTGGAGATTGAGCTGACGCTGTTCTTTGTAGGAGGTATGCCGTTGAGACTATAGTGCGACCGTGTAAGATTTGAGAGTGGGGGGTACTCTTCTCGACGGCAAGCTTGCTTTGTCTTGATAAGCGGCGCCTGGGTCAGTGGTGGCACTTGAAGAGGAGCATGGTTTATTTTTGTAAGCAGGCCACAACGTGAGTTGTGTGATCAGTCTCTGACAAAAATATTAGGCTGTCTTGATAAGCGGCGCCTGGGTCAGTGGTGGCACTTGATAAGCGGCGCTTGGGTAAGTAGAAGGATGCTTGAAATATGAAGATGTAATCGTGTCAACGAAAGTGAATGGAAGGGTGGTCGTTTTCTATTTTTTGCTTGCATGCATGTTGAAAGGATGGGAAGACAGCAGACGACGAGGAACGGAGCAATCACACAATAGAGAAGAAGTGAATTGGACATAGATTTTTTCCGAGGTTACCCATTCTTTCCCGAATGATCCTCTTTGTCTATGCCCGTCCATCTGAATGGGTTCTTTTTCTGTGGTCTCCTTCTTCGTCTAGGTTCGCTCTTGACGTCAGGCGAAAAAGGGGCTGACCGTCTGCTGTGTTAAGTGCATTTCCTTTCCCTAGGAGGCATCTGAGGCGGGGGTTTGTTGCCTTAGGGGCCGACCCTGTTAACGTCTCGAAGTGGACCGCTTAGGCGGGGGGATATCATGCTGTCGTGGTGGAGCCAGCCCGGCTTCTGAGATCCGAGGTTCACTCGGGCGAGGATGAGGGGTATCCCAAACCACCTCCTAGGGGATGGACGTGTGCTATTCACGGACGGCATTAAGTTCTTGACGGCTCACGTTAAGAAGAACCGCTATAGTTTACCCTTCTAGTGGCCGTCTTAGGAGCCACAGATGAGTGGGGAGCTGACGCCATAAGAAGCCCAGTTCGTGCGATCACTAGCTATGGACGGAGTGTGACTAGGCAATACCCTCGCGGATAGGGTTGCACCATAAGAAGTGCAAGCCTAGGGCGATCAGACTAGTTGACGGGAAGATGTGAATAGAGTATGTATTGCCTTGAATATCTTCATGTCGAAGGTTGATACTTCATCATTTATGAAACATAAAGAGTAATTGTTGCCCAGGCGGACAAAGCGACCAACATAATTTAAAAGTGGATCCTTAACCTTAATGGGGCATCCAGTGTTCGGTTGTTCAAGTCGAGTATTGACTCGTATTGTGGTAGCCGGACTACTTGCAAACGACATTCACACCAAAGTTAGAGTGGGAGCATAGTCATCACTGGTGCGATAGCATCTTAGCTTTAATCGAGTATTGGGATTTGTCTGCATTATTGGCTAGCAATCGGTATAGGGTGGAATGAAAGAACTTGGCAACGTACCTCATCAAGTCGCAAAAGTTGTGACAGCCCAGACGAGTGATATGTATGAATGTATCAATTTCAAAAAATAATTCAGCTTGCGCTGACACGAGTATTTCGTAACTTTTGATTGTCTTCGAAAGGAGGGACTAGGATCGCTAGAAGTTTTCCTTACGTTTGGAATATGACGTCCTAGTCGACCGGCGTGCGTTCCGATTCCTGGGAGATCAGCGCCTCAGGGACAAACGACGTTCGGATCCACTTCGGCGTTTAACCATGCGTACTTATGCTACAGCGAACGAGCAAACGCCCTCGGTCGGCCTACCTCTGCAATTGCATTATAAAAGCTTTCGCATGTGGGTCGGTAGCTCGGCGGGGATACGCCCCTAAGGGTGGTGACAACCCYTTAGGGGAGGTAAGTTGTGCCCCGCAAGAACCTATCATGTCGTAGGGGACCGCGGGATGTACAGCTGGCACACTCGGCCGGAGCGGCGAAGAGTCGACGCGGGTTACCGTGTCGTCCCCGAGTTGTCTAAAAAAAGTTGAAAGCCTAAGTTTCTCCTGCGTGATGCGGCCGGGAGGGTCCTCGCTCGCGAGGGGCCGATGCGCTCGACAGGTGGCGCCGTTGCCGGGGATGACGGCAAACTACCGTTGTCCCTGGTGGAACGACACTCGGGAATGAAGCAAGTGAAAGATTGTGCCGGAGTGGTTGTCTAAGAAAAAAAGTTAGTAATCTCTGAGCCTCTATAAATGTAAGGAAGGAACCTTAATAGATGTCACTAAAACTCCTAGACTGATTTCTTGGGTTTATGTTTCTAGATGGACGGTGCCACAGGACGTCGCGATAACGTCGACGATGGGAGGAACGACATTCAAGAATTGGCACGGGTCATTCGGCAGTCCCAGTGAGAGCAATACCCCAAGATTGATGTTCAATTGTTCGATGGGAATCATGCCTCTTCTTGGGCAGACAAGTTTGAGCAACTCGGGTATAGCAACGAATGGACGGATGAGAAGATGCTTCGCAAGGTAAAAAGGTACTGTCAGGTGGGGTACCGAGATGAGATCGATGAGCTGGTGCAGATCTCTCGCAATTGTTTTGATTTTAAGGCGCGGTTGTTGGAGAAGTATCAGCTCAGCGATCGGTTGCTCGACCTGCAGGATTTGAGGGCGGTGGATCGTAAAAAGTTTGATACAACCAAACAATTATTGTCGGAGTTTGAGCGTGTGGCTCGCCTAATCCCGGATTTGTCCGACAAAGATCGCTGCCTCATCTTCCTTGATAACTTCAACGACGTCGAACAGTCGAAATTGGTTGAAGGGATGCAAGGGAGGTATGACTGGACTAAGGTCCGGCAGAATGCGCTGGTGGGGAAGTTCGACGATATCCTCTACCGGCTGTTGAGGCAGCAAAAGGAGGAGCGGGAAAAGGTGAAGCTGGGAGAAGTAAAGGACGGTGAAATTTACAAAACTTTGACTTGCATGAGAGAGATAATGGAGGGCATGAAGGAGGAAAGGCTGAAGCTTCAAGTCATGTTGGCCAAAGAGAAAAATAGTAAGAGGAAGGGAAAAGAGCCGGCGGGAAAAGAAAGTGACAGTGAGAGCGAGGAAGAAAAGGAGCCGCCTCGCAAGTTGACAAAGGCGGAGAGGAAGATCTTGAATCAAATTCAAGGCGGACAGGGGACTTCCCGTAAACAGGGGAAGAACGGTGGACAAAATAATCAAGGAGGGAGTGGCAATGCTGGCACTGGTTCGTCAAGACAAAGTTCCCAAGATCAAGGGCAGTTCCAGCCGCAGGGTAGAAGAGGCCGCGGTCGAGGCCGTGGAAACGGACAGCGAAGCCGTTGGGCGTGGCAGCAGGATGCAGGCCGAAGAGGAAGAACGGGCTCGTCGTCGTGCACTGGAAAGGGAGCCGGAGAAAGGGAAGGCCGAAGTAAGCGAGGAGGAGCCACGAAAGAAGAAGAATATTTATTCGATCCCCGTGGAGCAGGGGGTCGATATCGAGCAACTTGTTAATAAGATTCTGGAAAGTCAGCGCGACTTGGTCACGCTGGAAAATTTGAGAAGAGTTTAAACAGCGGAGGACTCGCAAGAGAGTCATGACTGTTAAGCTCGGCGAAGTCATTCCACCGGAGGCTAACTGGTCCCCGCCTGGGACAAAGATGGATTGGCGAAGTGTGTCAACCGGCCATATTAAGGTCCAGATTGGACAGCACGAGTATTCGGCACTTGTGGATGATGGAGCCGAGATGAACATCATTCGTGAGCGCCATGCCATCGAAGCTGGGTTGAAGATCAACCGAGATGACTATGGGTTTTTGGTGGGGGCTAGCGGATCGACCTCATTCTGCGGGACAGCCAGTGGCGTCCTTGTCACGGTCGGAAAGGTCAAAGTCCACTCTTACTTCTATGTGTTACCTAGAGTGGAACACGAGGTGCTGCTCGGAAGGGTATTCTTATGTCGGTCGGAAAGCATCATCCTTAACAAGCATGATGGAACCATGTTTGTAATTCTTTGCGATCCTGTCTGCGGTTATTACGAAGTGGTCAAGTGTGCAAACACTGGACCCTATTGCTCGCGGAACCGGCTGAACCCGGAATCGTATAGCTTTCCGGAGTCAGAAAAGTTGAGAAGGGAGAAGGAATCGCTAGGGGAGGAGCCGAATCCTCGTGAGTTCTCGCTGACCCTGCCTGATATTGGGCAGGCAATCGATTTCGTGTCGACACATGCGGCGATCGATCCGAATGTGGTGCAAGCCTTGACGGAGATCATCACGGACACCGGAAGCATAGGGACTATGCGCCTTGTTTACTCCCCGTCGGAAGGGAATAAGGGAGAGAGTCAGGAATTGCCCTCCACTCGACAGGGTCCTTTTTTAGAGGACGCAGACTTGACACCGGCACCAAACGTAAGTACAAGAAAGTAGGCGTAAAGGCGAAGCCGGTGCCTGTTCTGATCACTCAAGAGGAGGAAGTCTATTATCGTGAGGAGCGCGAGTGGATCAGAGAAATGAAAGAGAGAGGTGAAAAGGGGCCATGTCGGTTAACCAAAGAAAGAGTGGAAAGTATGATCATTGGGGAAGAGGACCTCCTTACTGAGCAGGAAAAGGGATATATCATAGATATATTGAGGGAGGAACATCTCTCCTATGCGTTTGATGAAGATGAGCGAGGAAGGTTGGATGTCGATAAAATCCCGATGATCAGAGTTCATACTGTACCACATGAGTCATGGAATGTAAGAGGGTCACGCTATCCGAACCCGGAGGATCACCGTAAGGTGGTCGCATACCTCGATGGAAAGATCCGGACAAAGGTTGCAGATTATTCTTACGGGCCGTATGCATCTCCATGGTTTTGTTTCATGAAACCGAATGGTACTCTGCGATGGATTCAGGACCTCCAGAAGCTGAATTCGGTGACAGTGTGAGATGCAGGAGGACTTCCATATGCAGACCTGTTGTCAGAATCTTGTGCAGGAAGGTCTATCATTACCCTCATCGATTTATATTCTGGGTATGATCAATTCCCGATTTACACTGCGGATCGGCCCAAGATGGCGATGCATACTCCTCGCGGGGTGATCCATATGTGTGTGGCACCGCAGGGGTGGACAAATGTCGTTGCCATTATTCAGAGATATATGACGAGGGTTATGCAGCATTATTGTCCTAACATAACTTCGCCGTATATTGACGACTTGGCTATTCCAGGATCTTGTACGAAGGATCTGACGGAGGTGTTGTCGGGCATTCGCCATTTTGTCTGGAAGCACATCAATGACGTGGTGAAAGTTCTTAAGAGGTGGAAGGAGTTTAATCTCACAGCTAGTGGGATTAAGTCTCGACATTGTATGAAAAGAGCAGTGATTTTGGGGTTCCTTTGTGACGAGAAAGGTCGTCCGCCGGATGCGAAGAAGACTAATAAAATCTTGGAATGGCCGACCCCTTTCAAGTCAATCACAGATGTGCGAAGTTTCCTCAGAACCTGTGGGTTTTGGCGCACCTTCATCAGCAGGTTTGCCGCCAGAGTGGAGCACTTGCGAAAGCTTGTGCGCAAATGCCAGAAGTGGGAATGGGGTCCGAAGCAACAAGCGGTCGTGGAAGACATAAAGACTGAGTTTCGTGAGGGCGGATTGATCCTTTGAGTTCCTTTTTTCGACGATGATGAAAGGCGTCCTTTTGTTATTGAGACTGATGCGGGGCCCACAGCCCTAGGAGGCGTCTTAATTCAGAAGGATGCTGAGGGACAGGAAAGACCTCTCAGATTTGAGAGTATGACTCTGAATGTTGCTGAGAGGAACTATTCCCAGTTCAAAAAGGAAACTTTGGCAGTGCTTCATTGTTTCCGTATTTTTCGGAATTATGTGTTTGGTAGACGCTTCATCCTGCGAGTGGATCCGACTGCATTGGCTCAGTCCTTAAGGAATTATTCACCTGCAGATCCCACTATTGCACGATGGCTAACTTATATCTGGATGTTTGACTTCGAAATTGAGCGGATTTCGGGGAGTCAAAATCGTGCTGATGGGTTGAGTCGGGTTGAATGAGATCCAGAGACGGATCAGGCAAAAGAATCTGTTCCGGTCGATGCCTTTTTGAAAGAAGAGGAGTCGAGGTTGAGTATTAACTCCTTTGCCTACCTAACTGATGCGGCCACTCGACATGGGAAATCAATATGGAATGCTCCCATCTGTCACAAGGTACGTTCAGAGCTCGTGATGGAGGAACCTTTCATCGAGGAGGACCCATGGGGCGAGCAGACCGCATAGAAAATGATGAGGCTGGCTTTGACCGATGACATCGACCTTATGCTTGATCCGCTAACAATTGAACAGGGCCATGTGCAGGCTGATGACGCTTTCCAGACTGTTGGAAGGATGTCATATATCATGAACTTGTTGGTTCATGAGGATCGCATGAGGTTAATGAATGCGGAGGAAGGGAGCAGTGAGGTTAAAGAGACATTCAAGGAAAAGGAGTACGAAGGGGAATATAAGAAGATAGGCATGTGGTTGAATGGGGAATTGGACGAAAGTGAGGTTGATCCGGTTGTGCGGAAGACAAGCAAAGGATTCGTTGTTCGTGACGGTCATCTCTTTAAGAAAGCTGCTGATGGTGTCCCAAAGAGGGTGGTATGCGGAATCTCTCGACAGTTGGATGTGATTGCTGCTCTCCATGATGGGGTAGCCGGCGGACACAGATCTGCGCGGGTAACTTTGAACAAAATCCAACGTCTTTATTTCTGGGAAGGGATGAGCAAGATGGTGATCGATTTTTGTAAATCTTGTTTCCCTTGTCAACAGAGGTCTAACATCCACCACCTCGAGTCTCTAAATCCACGTTATGTGGCAGAAGCGGGCACAGTGGTGCATTTGGATCTCCTGGTAATGCCACCTGGGATAAATGGGTACAGGTATATCTTCGATGCTAGGGACAATTTGACTGGGTTCGTTGATGGTTGTGCCGTTCGTGAACGTACTGGGTCAGTCTTGGCAGAGTGCATTGAAGAATATTACCTCCGTTATCCATTCATTCAAGAAATTGTTATAGATCGAGGAGGCGAGTTTTGAGCAAAGGAGGTGCAAACACTTTTAAAGAGACTTGGGGTGAGTTTCAGTTATACGACGAGAGCGCATCCCCAGGCCAATGCACCCGTGGAATGAGGACATGCCACCTTATCTAACTTGTTGGCTAAATGGTGCAAGGGGGAACCATCAAGATGGCCGATTTATTTGAGGGCAGCCTTTTTCGTTGAGAATGTTATCATCAAGCGAACGACCGGGTATGCTCCCGTCACATTATGGTTTGGACGACATGCGACTTTTCCAATTGAGAGTTTCCTAACCACTTGGCAGAAACAGGACGTGGAAACAAAACTCTCAACAGAAGAGTTGTTGGAATTGAGGGCAAGACAAATCATGGTGACTGAAGAACGGATTGAAGACGCGACTGTCTCTACTTCTGAAAGCAAGCAGGCTGATAAGGAAAGATGGGACAAGAGGCCACGTGTACGAAAAGAGTCGTTGGAAGTGGGAGACATTGTCTTGTTGTATGATATGTCGCTAGAAAAACAGTGGTTCAGAAAACTAGACAGTCGGTGGCTAGGACCATATCGGATCACTAGGAAAGCAAAATATGGGGCATATGAAATAGAGGAGTTTGATGGATCTCGGGGTAGAAATTGGGTATCAGGTGCACATCTACGAAGTTCATTCCAAGAGTTTAGTGAAAATTTTTACAAAGGAAGGATAGAGGAGGTAATTGGTGGCATCAATTTTGATAATCCTTCTTGCTTTCATATTGTGGTTCAGCTGATTCCGACTTTTGTCTTAAGCTAACCAAGAAAGTTGTAAAGTATTAATAAAAGCATTGAGATTGAGAGGTTATCAATGGGATGGTGACTCCTGTTGTTTTGTAATAATGAAGTTGTGTCTTACTGCCACAGATAATCGTAAGATGACTATGATACTTTTCTCATAATTGTCGTTATGCGTGAGAGGTATTGAATATTGTTGTAAAGAAAAAGAGTGATACTAAAGGACTTTGTGAGATTTTTATCACGATTGGATGTTCATTTCAGGAAGAGTGTTGTGAAATGGCTGATGGATACTTATGTTATTACAGTATTCATCACATACATAAAGAATTATAGAACCTGAAATTCTTATGAAACTCCGTGTATGTGGTTATGAATGAGAGATTTATGGGAGTGCATGTCTAAGGAGATGATGTGTACTTGAAGCATATGCCTGGCTGGATTAACACATATTATTCGGCGGACATGTGATTCAATTGCTTGTCATGCGCTACGACGTGGTATTGTTTCGATTGTCATGCAATGAGGAATCCTAATGTTGTGAGCCCCGTAGACGGTAGTGAGGCCTGCGCCGGAACTTTGTTCCTGGTCCATAGCGGGATGCTGTCATTTCTCCTTTCGAGGGGGATGGCTACACTATCGTCGAAAGGGAGGAAGGTGGTAATATGTTTATTGGAACCTGGCTCGTAAGGGTGGCAATTACTGCTCGCCATGAGGGAAAGATTGATCACCTTTTCTTTTGTGGTGGATGGGGTCGCCTCGACTTTATGGCCGAGTCTGATCAACTTAGGTCATAAGGGAGGGGTAGTTCTACCTTGCAGGTAGGGTACTAATGGATGTATGACACTGAAATCGGAGGGAAGGTGGTGAGGCTCGAGTCTAAAGCGGGGCTTGACGTCGAGATGTTATCCTCCATGGATTACACCACTCCTCGGCGCATTCACAAGACATGTAGGAGATAAATCATGCATGGTGATTAAGTTGGAGTGGGAATTAGCCGGACTGGACAAAGACTTTTGGAAAGGGTGATTTCTCTCTGGGATGGTGACGGCACATGCTGTAGTATAGTGTGAGTATCCTTGTGTTTCGTGGGAGACCCAGGTTAAACTCCTGACAGCGAGAGATATGCTCAGGTGATGGGAATGCATCCCCATGAACATGAGAGACCCAGGATAAATTCCTGGCAGTATGTGTTGTACGGATGAAAGACCCGCAAGGGGTTAAGCCTGACGAGACCTAAACAGGGGGTTATAGCCTGAAGAGAGTCCCATCAGGGGGATAAGCCTGACCCATCTATGAGAGACAAAAGGAAAAATGAGTGGCCGCCAGTGGGATGATGCTGGGATCATTCTTCTAAAAGGTTTTTGTAACTCCTTAGGCTGGGTAACGCCGACGGTCGACGGTGGATTCCAGATTCCGGGGAAAGGTCTGTCAGAGGTTATTTCTGACCCCATTCCAACTCGTGACTGAAGGAAAGTGCTTTCGAAGGAAGGTTCGAAAGAATTACGAGGCTTGAAAGTGGGCCTCTGTGCTAAAGGCTTGAAAGTAAGCCGTTGTTTATTAAAGGCTTGAAAGTAAACCCTTTGCATTGATGGTAATGAACTCTGCACAGAGAGTTTCATGAAGAGTATCCGGATAATTATAAAAGGAAAGGGAGATAAACGATGGAAACATAGCTTATCATGTATAAGTATGTAAAATTAGGGTTAATTCCAGAGGTACTGTGATTATATGATGTATTCACTGAGGTCTTCTAAGAACTTCCCTTATGGTAAGCGACGGGGACGTCGCTTAATGGGGGCGGGGACGGCTGTCGGGACAGAAACGCCTGTGAGGATTTCTGCCCGAGTTTTCAAGGTCAGACACTGTCCGACTTTTGTCGTTGGGGAATATGATGAGACTAACGTTGCCAAAGTTTATTCGGGCCAACCTTATAACTGAAAGACTTAAGGCCTGACGTTGTCGACGTAAGACGTCGCTGACGTGTGACGTCTTCGACGTCCGTTCGAGACAGCGGG